CCCGCCCCCTAGGGGTCCTCGCACCCCGCCTCGCCCTGATGGCGTCCTTCAGGTACCTGCGCGCCGGTCGGGCAGNGCCCCTACTGTGTACACAGCACTCGAGGCGCTTCTGGGGAACGGGGAGATGAGGAGGAAATGAAGCCACCTGACACTGGATTCTGCCCCCAGAGATGATGCAGGGGACAGAAACAAGTCAAAAGCTGGGAAAGAAGGAAGTAACTAGCAGAGAGGTACAAGCAGAAAGTCAAATAAGATTACCGACGGGTATTAGGAGAGCTGGGCCTTGAACAAGGGTGGGAGCTGAATACGGGGAAGCGAGAGCGGACACATCTCAGGAGCAGAGGAGCCGGATGAGTGGGTGATAAGGGGGTACACAGGTGGACTCAGGCATGGCTCAGCTGGAGAAGGGAGCAGGTGGGGGGTACATGGGGTCACATGGTGGGGAGACTGGAATGCAAGCTGGGGGGGAGAACAACCTAGGACCAGCGAGCCGTGAATATGGAAGGGCTTTCTAGCAAGGCAAGCATCCAGGGAGAGGCAGCCAGCTGCCCGCCACGGAGCTGCACTATCTGTGGCTTGCCTACGTTTTGCTGGTTGCCGCATAGAGAGTGTTGGGGACACGCCGTGTAAATACAGCAGTGACCTGCCCAAGGAGCTCACCACCAGCCTTGGGTGTCCCAGAAGGGACTGGCGGAAGGAACGGGAGAGCTCCCCTTCAGAGGGGGAGCCTGGGCAGTTCCCCCACCCCATCCCTGGACATTCTCTCTCTCTCTCTCTCTCTCTCTCTCTCTCTCTCTCTTCCCACCCCACCCCCCAGCCCCAACTCTAAAGGAACCCACTCAGAGTCTACTTGAGTGTGTTTCACTGCAGCCAGGGGTATAATGCAGATGTAGTTTCAGTTTGTTTCAAGTTCAGCTAGCATGCGGCACTTTGAGAAGCCCCGGTCAGGGTTTCCTGTTTTCAGTCGGCCCGCTTCCGACCCGGGAGCACTTGCTGGCTCACAGCTTCCTTAGGCGCAGCCCTCACTGGTCCAGAAACCCTGCTCCTTTGAGTTCTTAGTACCACCTTTGCTGCCAAACAGAGCCACATTTCCAGCATGAGACTCAGAGAGCACAGAGCACAGGCTGGATAAAAGCTAGCTCCCTCCCGTTATACATACATAATGTGCCCTACAAGCAGTCAACTTATG